TCTCTCTCTCTCTCTCTCTCTCTCTCTCTCTCTCTCTCCCCACACACTCACACACACATATATATAGTCATCCCTGGCACATATATGCATGCTAAAACCTCAATTCTCTCTCTTTCTACATATATACACACATATACGTACACACACATACACATACATATAGCATTAATCAGGGTCAATCATCTTAAAACAAATGGATTATTGGTCCTCACACACATCATCGTGATAACTCCCATTTAAATAGTGCTTTTTCAGATACATTTGATGGCCCAGGGACCAGATAGGGTGGGCTGTGTGGTACAAAACCAAGACTAGACTTCCCAAGAAAAGTGAGACCTCTGGAATGACAGCTTGTCATGCTAGTAGAAAGTCATTGATCATTCACTCTTTATGTTCCGTCATGGTTGACATTATTGATGTTTCTCTCCCTACAGCAAGGTTTCGATAGGAATATGCTGGGATCCTTAACTGGGACCAATGTCCTAAGGAACTTCAGCTCCCGATTCTAAGAGGAAGACGTCATCATATATTGAACTTGCAGGTGAGAATCCTCTGATCCCAGGGTAAGAGGGACCCTCCCCCAGGCTATTATAGCCATGCCCCTTGTTTCTTTAGGACACTGCAAAGTTGAAAGGGTGTTATAACCATGTCAAGTCAAGGTCTCACAATGTCCCTTTTGACTGTCACACAGCACAGCACTGACCTCCAGAAGTGGAACCCAGCTGGACCATCCACAAGGGGCTTTGAACTGTCTAACCTCAGGTTAAAGAATTAGGAGAGACAGTCATCCCTGGCAATGCCAAATGCCATAAGTGTTGGCACTGCCAACTCACTCTCTTATGCACAATTATGCACTTTTCTAGTATATGGCATGTCTCTAATGTCACCAAGGTTATTGGATTCCTGACACAGATTTCTTTAGGGCCCAGTGTATGTGCAGGGAAACTCAAGTCAGGTTCAAATTAAATGTGGGGCTCCAACTATCTCCTGCACTGAGATGGACTGACAGCATACCCACAGGTTGAATTGAGCACCTACTGCCTTGCATGGAGGTTAGGGACTTGAGAATAGAAAGTGGAGAAAGGGATGAAGATGCAAGAAATAAGACAGGCTACATTTTTTAAAATGTATAGTCCAGTAAGGAATATAGGACCCATAGAGGAAAAAAGACCTAAGAACACTTGCAAAATGAGACTTTACTTGAGAGAAGGCATTGAGTGTTTGGAAACTGACAGTGGAAGGACAGCTTGCCATACAGAGCAAAGGAGCCCCCAGTCAAGTCGGGGCTGATCAGGAAAGGCTGCCCAGAGGAGGTGACTGTCAAGCTGAGATGGGAAGATGTGAAAGGATGTGAACTGTCAGACAGAGGGGGAGTGACTGTGTTCAAGGACTACTTGGATCCAAAGGGAGCTCGCTCTGGATTCAGTTAGACTTCAAGCACTCCTTGCTCTTAGCTTAGCTTCAATAGAGAGAAGAAGGAAAGGGATGAAAATGCAATTAAGTTCAGCTCAGCATGTAGACCTTTTGAGTGTCCACCATATGCCCAGAATTGCCCTACACAATAGAGACACACAGCCCTGTCCTCAGGGAGCTTACTTAGTATCTTGTTGGGAAAGCAAAGAAACACACATGGAACAGCGAAAGAGTGTGTGTGTATGTGTGCATATGTGAAGACAGAAAGCTACAGAGACAAAGTCAGAGAGAGCCAGAGAAATAGAGACAGAGAGAGAGGAAGGGAAGGATAGGGAGAAAAAAGAGGGAGAAGGAGAGAGAAAGGGAAAGAAAAAGAGAAAAAGAAAAGGAGAGAAAGAGAGAGGAGAAGAGAGAGGACAGAGGAGAGAAAGGAAGAGAGAGACAAAGGAACAGAGACAGAGAGAGAAGGGAAGGAGGGAGAGAGAAAAAGGGTGAGGGAGAGAGAGAAAGAGAAAAAGTAAGGGAGAGAGAAGAAAGGAAAGAGAGAAAAAGAGAGAGAAAAGAGAGAGACAGAGGAACAGAGACAGAGAAAGAGGAAGAGAAGAAGAGGGAGAGAAAATGGGGGAAAGAGAGAGAGGGAGAGAGAGAGGGAAAGATAAAAAGAGAGAGAAAAAGAAAGGGAGAGAAAGAGAAAAAAGAGAAAGAGAAGAGGAACAGAGATAGAGAGGAAGGGAAGGAGAGAGAGAGAAAAAGGGGGAGGGAGAAAGATGGAGAAAGAGAGAGAAAGATAAAA